GCCGGGTGATCGTGGCCCCGCGGAGCGCTACCGCTGCCGCCGGCCACCGCACACCGCTCCCAGCGGAGCCTCGCCCGGGGGAACACGGAGGCTGAGGGCAGGGACCCTTCTGAAAGGCGGTGGTGCCACGGTCAGCTCAGCCCGCAGCCAGGAGAGGGCTGTTTTCCTAAAGACAAGGAAGGTTTTACAAATGCGGCTTCCAGCTGAAGCGCCAAGTGTAAAACATTAACCCTGAGGGGTCGGTGCCTGTCTCATGTCTGTCTGCCGTTACGCTCAGCACTTTTGTTCTCCCCGGCGTTAACACATAATCATAGCGGTAGGAGGGAGAACAACACTTGGTGCCTCACGGTTTCTTTTTGCACCATAGGTGGTGAGTTTTGAGAAATGGCATTCCTACTGGACCGTTTGACTCCAGAATCTGACAGTGAGTGTTGAGCTGTGAAAACCTCGCAGAAAGACCTACCATTTAAAATACACGTGGCAACGAGGACGTCGAGGCCCACAGTGCAGAGGCAGGATATGACGTTAAACTGCAGACGATGTTGTAGAAGACAAAAAAAAACTTTCTGATATTTTAGGAGCTTAAATCCACTCCTAGACTGAGCTGGTGGGAAGACTGTGGTGGAGGGGGACAGCAACTGGTTTGTCAGGCTGTATTGGTGATGACAGGTTAACTGGATTTATACTGAAATCTGCAGCATCCCTGTATTTGAGTATATTTGATGTATCATGTCAGCCTGGACTGCGCCTCACCAGTAACTTGGACGACTGCTAGTTATCTTCCTTAGCCGACACTGTGAATGGCCCAAAATGTGTGTTCTTGCAAGCCACCTTCTCCTTTCTGCACTCCTACTCTACATCCATGTATACATCTGAGCTATCCTATGTATACACATACAAAATGTACAAAATCCAACAAATTAACTTTAACAAAATTATCTGTTTGTGTCCTTGTCTCCAAAGCAAAATTCCCTTTTGCATGAAATACATTAGCATCATTTATGCCCTGTTTTTTCTACGTATCGGTACCAATACCCAGATTGTTTCCTTTTTTACAGATACATGCTTACATGTGTTTGTGCACATGTACAGCATTACTGTGCGTGACACGAAGCAGTAAGAATCCCACCACTCCAAGAAGCGACTGCTCATTTAGCCCTAGAAAAAATAGTTAAAACTCCTTTACTTTTCAGAAGATTTACAGCTGTTGGCCCTGCATATGAATTTGGCCCACAAAGTGGGAATCAGCACCTTGATGGGTTTGCAGAGGCAAGGGTGACAGACTGAAGACCTGAAGACACAACTGCAATTCATGAGGTTTTTCTGCTGTTACATTGTAAAACCTATAGCACACAAATATAGTTACTTTTGCTCTGAAAAGCTTTTCTTCCAGCGGATAGTTAGGTACAGATAATGGAATACAAAAATTATATGAAGGCTATACTGTTCCTTTCCTGCTCAGGAAGAGCATCACTCATTTCAGATACCTTTTTTTCAATTACATGAATGAGTAATTCCCGCAGAAGCCAACAGCACTCAAATAGGTTGATCTATAAGAAAAGTGAATGGAAATCTAGCAACATTTTCTTAATCTGATAATCGTGTTCGTGGTCATGGTGACAGCTGTCTTTTGCAGCAATGGAAGAAAAGGAAGAAAATAGAGTGGAGAGTCTCTCCCATAACTACATTATTCAAAATAGGTGATTCTCCTTCAGAAGATTAGATGTGTTACAAACATGTCTTGCCACACCAGCAGGATTAAGCCACAGTTGGCCTTTGCTGAAAAATGACTGAAAAAAGGTGTTACAAATGATTTGCAGAAACCAGGCTTACTCTGTTCACAGACAGCTCCTTAAAGCCAGGACTAAATTCCGTATTTTGTTAAAATTGGCCTGTTGTTGTCACTATTCCAGATGTAGCAATAAAGGTGCAGATACAGACAGCATCTGATCTGCCAGTGGAAATAACTGCTACAACACTACAACACCAAATGACATGTTGTGGCAGGACTCCTGTCATTCATGCCACCTATATAGTGAGGTGAAAATCCAGTGGAAGCAAAGCTGAGAAACTAAGTCAATCTAGGTCGGACCTGGAAAGGCTTAATAAGTCCTACTCACTGATGTTGGGCAACCTTATCCAGTCTTGACACTGAACAGTCTAACCAAGAAAGCAACTGAGACGAGTGGAATGGAACCCACCTTTCTACTCATTAAAATACATTTTTAAAAAATGAATAAGCTTTATGTCTATTGACCAATAACAGAATCTTAGAAAACAATTTTGCTTGAATTCTGCTTATATTGAATGCAATAGTTTTAAGATCCAGTAAAACTGGCAGCTTTGAATGGTCAGCTTTATGCTAGCAGTTCATCACTATAGCCTATGATAAATTAAAATTAGGCACCAGGAAAATAATATTTTGCTCTTTGTGTATAGACTTAGAATGAAATTCAGAAGTTATTGTGAGATCTCTGAGTCTAAACCTATTAAAAAACCAATTCCGATTTAACTTCTTAAAATGGAGTAAGAATTACATTTGTCTAGGATGTAGGTTCCAGTTAAGATCATCAACATAACAGCAAAGCCTGCCAGAAAAGAATTTCTGCACCATAAAAAGTGCTTTGTCTCTGCACTTGCAAGAGTAAATAAAACCCCAATGATTGTGATATTTAGAAAGGTATCCTGAGACTATCTGAAAAGACTATAAAATTTGCCCTTCTTCTTAATGTATTTAAAAAAATTGACTTGTAATGCTTTTCTGAGTCTAATCTGAACTTATTAGAACATTACTGACCTGGCAGATACCTGCATATACCAAGTTACTACGTACACTGTGCCAGGATGTGATATTGATATATTAAAACATAGAAGTCAAGCAATTTTAAAGTTTAAAAGCCAGATTTAATTTTTTCCAAGGATTAGTAGCCAGAGTATATGTATTTCCTCAAGTCTAATTTTTTAGCTGGGTATTTTTGATACGTCAAACTATCAGACACACGCACAGTAACGACCACTGATCCATGCTCTTTGCTTGAGGAGTACCCGAAGAATTCCACTCCCATTTACGGTTGTGAGGGACTACAGTCTGCTTTGTGAACATTTCCACTTGATAGGACAGCCTGACATTTATTCTCAGCTACGCATTTCAAAATTATTAGTAACACTGAAGCCATTCTTTTGCATTGCAGGAGTTTCTGTCATGGCAAGTGGAAATTGCAGTCTTAAAATATGGCCACATATAGCCATAGTAGCCATGAAAGTATATTGAAGAACAGTCTCTTCATGGAGAAAGCTTTTATGGAGAAACACAGCAAGCAGAACCTCCGCCCACTGCCCTCTAAAGAAAATTCCTGTTCCCAGCGTCAGCTAACAGAACAGATTATAGAGAGAACAGTATAGAGAGAACGAACGTCTCCTGAATCCTTTACCTCTGCTAAACAACTTCATATGTTAAATGACTGATTGGACGTGGGTAGCTATCTTTTCTATGAAACAGTTCATGCTTTAGTTTACTATGACAGTTACATAGACTAAAGCCTTCTATAATGAACCTGACTGGCATCTGGTAACAGTCCATCCTTTAGCAACACAACACATTGCCAAGTTCAAGAACTGCTTGAAGTAATCTTGTGTAAGAGGAAAGTGTCTAGTTTGGATTTTAAATATGCAATATGTTCTGTTTAAAGCTACATTGCCACTGCAGCCAGGCATGTGATCATAGCATGAGCTGTGAGACTGTGAGCTTTAGCCTGGGACTTTGCTAATACTGGCCTCTTGCTCAGGTGGATGAAAGGCACATTTTTCTCCTACATTCTTGTTGGAGACCATTCTTGTGGTATCTGCTAACTAAATACAGTGAACTTAGGTATAGATATAAGTCTTGCAGTCCTCCTCATTTGCAAAGCTGCCTTACAACGTGCTGGGGAAGCTCTCTCCCTATACTGAAATATTAATTTTAGCTTCCAAATAGCCTTGTCTATGCATTGCCAGATGATGAGATAATCAGTAACTCTGACAATAAAATGGAAATTTGCTAGAATACTGTAATAGTGGGATTTGTCATGGGGAATATTTGAGCTAGTGTTAACAAATTCATTGTTTTTCCTAGAATAAAGTTTATAATGCATTTAATATTAATCATTTTGTATTTAGGAATGGTTAAACTATAGCACTGATATAAACTGCACACAAGGCAAAACCCCAGAATGTTCTAAGTGAGTCTGTTACCCAACAGATAGAAATATTCCTCGATAAACAACAGTTACAAAAGAATTAAAAAGCCTGGAGTGGTAAATGTTGATTTGAGAACTGTTGTTACTTAATGGATTAAAAAACATTGAAACATAACTGAATTCAGTATTACAAGTAAAGGTGTAAAGGTGCTTGGGTCCAGTCCTGATTTTGTAAATGCTTATATGTGATCTATTTTGTCAAGTTTTTCCATGTAGGTCTAGAAGTACTCTAATCTCTCTAAGCCTCTGCATCTGCGATTATTTTTTTTTCTTTTTTTTTTCTGCTGCTGCGGTTGTTTTGTAAAGAGGATGTGAAGGACTATTGTCCTTCATAAGAATACAAATAACAAAGTTAATAGATCATAAAGGTATGATCACACATTGCAAGATTGCATTTAAAGAAAGATGTGAAAACATTTAAGTAGGAGACAGCAGGACAGATCATAAGTCAAGTCATAAGAGAAGTAGAATTAAAACTGAATAAACGAAAAATAGGCATAAGGAGAAGAGAGCACAAAAGGGACTTTCTTTGTTTTAAGGGAATAAATAGAAGGAAAAAAATGGAAAATAAGAAAGTACAGACATTCAATTTTTAGCAAGATCCTCTGCCTTAACAGGAGCCTTTTCCACCCTCTGCAACAGGCCAAAAAAATGTAAAAAAGGACATTAAATTTGTAATATACCTAGCAGACTGTTTAAAGACATTTTCAGTCTTCCTGCTTTCCTCATGCAAGTCCAAACTAGTATGAGCACACTATGTAGAGTTACTCCCCATGTCACTCTCTGCAATTGGATTTTTAAATGGCTTATCATCAGTGTCAAGAGTATCTTGCAGATGTTAATAGATTTGTCCTCACAGTGAGGTAGGCAGCATGAGAGAGGAAGCCACAAGTGTGTGTGTGATCATACAAGAAAGTTTAGAACTAATTCCAGGTTTTAGTGTCAGTGCAACACTATGTCTGTACAACCATCTTCCAAGGTAGCCTATGTTGCAGCCAGAGGCTTTAATGCTGCTGGCCATAAACAACCTCTGTCATGCCATTGTGGCAGCACAGTTTCAGAACCATGAAGGCCTGCTGAGGGTGCAGAACTACCAGCTGTGTGCTGAGCTCCATGCTCAGCTTCCTGCTGTTTTGACTAAATTGTCTAAGCTTTCCTCTGTGGCCAGACTTAGACAGAAGACCCAAACAACCTAGCTTAAAACCAGCAACCCATGAAAATATTTTTCAAGTCCTTTGACTGTTTTGTCTTGTGGGAAACATCACTCTGAATCTTGTGCCTTTTTCCTAATGAGAAGATAGAAAACTTTCCAAAACAATTCTAAAACATTATGTCTAAAGTGAAAAATAATCTGCATGGTAATGTTGAGTTACTGATTTTAAATATATTAACAACTAATTGTATTTATTACATTTTGAAATGCAGATTATAAGCACTGTTAATCTTCACAAAGTTTCTTTTTAACAAGCTATGGATACTTACGACATATAGTCATCTCAGCAAAAGGAAGATGAAACTGTTTACCTCAGCAAATGGCTCCCCACATTAAGTATTTTGGACAACAATGTCATTGTTTGTTTCAGTTTTTATCACATTTTGCTTATACTCACTGTCCAGTGGAGTCTATACAGTTAGATCTTTAGGCCTTTTCTGTCTGATAATTATGTCTTCTCAGCTACAATCTGTGTTAGAGCTGATGGGGGATTGTTTTGTTTTCTTTTCTCAGAGACATGACCTTGCTTTGCTGTGCATCTGAGTTTCATGTCTCAATGTAGCATCCAGACAGTGATCTGCACTTTGATGTGCAAGACTTTTTCACATACATGAGAAAAGGGCAGCTAAATCTTTAAAATGAATCACTGTTTTTTCGGAACGAAATCCACTTGGGACGAAGAGATTAAAAAAAAAGTAAAACGACATTCT